ATTTGAAGAATGCTGATTACTGGGAGTTACTAGTAATTCTTTTCCTCACTATTTTCTACCTGGCAGTCTTCAAAATATCCTCTTTTGTGTTCAATAGATACTGATAATAAATACACTGATAGAGTAAATGATGACATGTATTTTTGGCTCTACTATTTCTTTAACCAAGTGGTTCCCAACATTTTTTTCCCCAGGAGAAGCGACCCTTATTTTTATGCTTTTAAACCACAGAGAATAAGTTTTATTTATTTATTTTTTTTTACTTTTTATTTAAGATTTTTCAATATATTTTTTTACAAAACAACCCATTCCCAAACGATTTAACCCCTTACAGATGAGGGGATACATGAAAAAGTAATAATGAAATTAGATTTTTTAAAAATCAATTAAAAGAAAATAATAAAATAAAATTAAAATAAATAGAAGGTATTGCCATCATAATTACTTTACAGGGGATGCATTTGTACATTAAGTTACGTTGTGATGCATTGTAGCTGTAGTGATAATAGGTTAAGTAACCTCTAAATATACAGTTTAAACGCCCCCCTTTTTAGCCGTTTTAGCCCCCCTTTGAATTAGTTTTTCTTTTTTTAAATATTTCCCAAATGATGTTTAACAGAGCAAGGAAATTTTCACAGTATGTCTGATAATACTTTTTCTTCTGGAGAAAGTCTTATTTGGTTTATTTCGGGAAAAACAATTTTTTTATACATTTTTTTTAAAAACATTTTAAGGCCAAACTTATTAGCCCCTTTAAGCTGACTTTTTTTCATGAGTCTCCAGAACAAACCAGTGTTACAATAACTTGCCTAATTACCCTAACCTGCGTAGTTAACCTAATTAACCTAGTTAAGCCTTTAAATGTTACTTTAAGCTGTATAGAAGTGTCCGGAAAAATTTCTAGTCAAATACTATTTACTGTCATCATGGCAAAGATAAAATAAATCAGTTAATAGAGATGAGTTATTAAAACTATTGTTTAGAAATGTGTTGAGAAAATCTGCTCTCTGTTAAACAGAAAACCGGGAAAAAATAAACAGGGGGGCTAATAATTCTGACTTCAACTGTACGTTGACTTGCATTGTAGTTGTACTGATGATAGGTTAAGTAACCTCTAAATATACATTTCTAAATATGTTGTAATACTTTTCCACCTCTTCAGAAAAGTATCAGTCTTCATTTGTAGACATGCAGTAATTTTTTCCATTACATAGACCTGTTTTAGTGTCTGAATACACTGAGCCACCTTTGGAAAACTTTCTTCCATCTAATGTACTGTTATCTTTTTTTTTTTGCAACCAGTAATATCATCCTAGTGGTTACGTTTTTATCATGCAATAACCGCGTAAATATTGAAATAATAACACTGTCAATGATGGGCAGATTTTAAATGAACAAAAAATGTTTGGTTGACCCTACCATTATTTACTATGGTGACCTCAGGTTATCAAAGGAAAAAAAATTGAAAATTGCTGAATGTGTTGTCAGGAACATGATTTAACCAAATTAATTGGCTTACAAATGTAAACGGTTACATTAATGTGTTATAAGAATATGATTTTTTTTTACATATTAATACAAAGTGTTCTTTTTTAGGCTTGCTTCCCGTACTCCTGTTTACTTGCGCAAAGCAACCGTGCCTAGAGGAAGCGCAACTGGTGCGATAGGTTTCCTTTGAAATAGACTGGACCGTGATCGTGCACCCACAGTCCTGCTGCTTTCAAGAACTCAAGATTAAAAATACACATCTTAATACACAAATACACATATTAATATAAAGTGTTCTTTTTTTAGGCTTGCTTCAATTTTAAAGGGGACCAGGGCTTTACATTAACACCTGAAAACCCCCAAAATGCAAGTAGATTTCAGCTCTGGCAGGTTAGACAGACACCTCCACTAGCCACTTTGGCTGGTTGGAAATCATTTTAAAATTGTAGTTTTCTTAAATGCAGGGTTCGACAATAAGCATGGCCCAATATTCGTGCAAATGTGATATAAGAATCCTGAAGAATGGTGAGATACAGCATGATCAACAGCTAATGTGGAGCGCGCAACTGATAAAAAGCGCGCGTGTGCTCCCGTTTTCTTGCGTAAAGCAACCGTGCCTAAAGGAAGCACAACTGGTGCGATAGGTTTCCTTTGAAATAGACTGAACAAAGAGCGATGATCGTGCACCCACAGTCCTGCTGCTTTCAAGAGCTCAAGATCAAAAATACACATCTTTTTTTGTAAGCAGTAGTGGTCTCTGCTTTCATTTCAATTATTCTAAGAAGATATTATTAACAGGCCGAACATTAACCGTGTGCACGTGAACATCCTTTCATTATCAAACACGGTATGTTTCACCTGCTTTCTCTTGCTTACAGTTATTTTCTTAATATGCTTTAATTTTGATTTATTTACAATAACACTGCTTTAATGGGAGATTGCTTCCCGTTTATGTGTAGTTAACTGCTGATCTGGGATTTTAGCCAGGACAGATTACTGTGCATATTTTAGATACATGACATTAACTATTTTTTAGATGTCTGGATTTGGATCCAGATGTTTTTTTTTTTTTTTACTTTTTATTTATTTTTTATTTTATTGAATTAAAAAGTGCATTGTGGCTAAGAAATACTTATCTGGTGGGGTCAGAGATAATTTTGATAGAACCTTAATTTTAAGCCCTGAAAAGTCCTGTGAAATAAAAAACTGATTGCATTGCGACACAACCCATTTGCTCATGCACACTGAGCGAGCTAATACACAATACACACAAGAAGTCAAATGAATGAGAAGGCATGTGGACATAACAACATCTAAATCAAGTCATTTAGCATGTCAAAGTCAAATTTAAGCAAAATATATTTCCCCAACAAGAAAAGTGTGGCTAGTGAAAATGGCGAGTGGCTAGTAATGTTGGAAAACTACTAGCCACAGAGGCTGGGGATCAAAAATAATGAAGGGCACCTATTAGTCTCCATTATACAAGACATAAAATAAGTATCAGATGTTCGAGTGTGCATGTGACATTTTAGCTCAAAATGCCCCATAAATAATGTAAATATTTAATCAAAAAAAGTTATAATAACTTTTTGAAACGGACTCTTTTAGGCTTAGATTGCAATTGTGTCTTTTTGGTGACTGTCGCTTTAAATTTAAATGAAAATTTGCTTTAAATTCTCAAAAGAGGGTGGAGCTACAAATGCCTGTGTGCTAGCCAGTGGTGGAAAGAGTACTGAAAAATCATACTTAAGTAAAAGTACCATTACTTGCACAAAAATGTAGTGCGAGTAGAGTAAAAGTATCTGTTGTAAATATTACTCAAAGTATGAGTAAAAAGTAGGCATTTTAAAAGTACTCAAGAGTAGTGAGTATTGAATATTACGCCATAAAAAGTCGTTTTGCATTTACATGCAGTTTATGCAGTGATGTGTAAACGTAACATTCTGTAGTGCATTTAGTAATCTTCCTATATGGGTTTGTTCATTCCAACTTTCTTCCATTGTTTGTTTGCTCTCTCCTTCATTCTTTAACTTGTTTGTTCCTTCATTCATTCTGTCCTTCCTTCGTTCCTCCCTTCATTTGTTCACTCATTCATATTTTTGTTCCTCGCTTCATTAGGTCCTTTGTTCGTTCCTTTCTTAGTTTGTTCAGTTCTTCCTTGAATCTTTACTTCATTCATTTGGTCTTTCGTTCGTTCGTTCATTTTTATTTTTGTTCCTTTCTTCATTAGGCCCCTTGTTCTTTCCTTCCTTTATTCATTTGTTCATTCCGTCCTTCATTTCTTTGGTCCTTCCTCCCTTCATTTGTTCGCTCATTCATTCGTTCTTCCATTCATATTTTTGTTCCTTTCTTCATTAGGCCCCTTGTTCTTTCCTTCCTTTATTCATTTGTTCATTCCGTCCTTCATTTCTTTGGTCCTTCCTCCCTTCATTTGTTCGCTCATTCATTCGTTCTTCCATTCATAATTTTGTTCTTTTCTTCATTAGGCCCCTTGTTCTTTCCTTCCTTTATTCATTCCTTCCTTCATTTCTTTGGTCCTTCCTCCCTTTGTTTGTTCGCTCATTCATTCGTTCTTCCATTCATAATTTTGTTCCTTCCCTCATTAGGTCCTTTGTTCGTTCCTTCCTTAGTTGGTTCAGTCGTTCCTTGAATACTTCCTTCACTCATTTAGTCCTTCCTTCCTTCATTAGTTCAGTCCTTCCTTCGTTTGGTCCTTCCTTCCATTTTTCTTTCGTTCCATTTAGTGATTGTTTAAGGAGGCTGTTTGGTGATTTCAGTCATCATACAGTCATTATACATCATACAGTTTTTTTTTTTTTTTTTTTTTACAGTCGACATCTATTTTCTCATCAGAGACATCCAGCCTATTAAAACTTCTTGGACATTTTTAATGCTTCTAAAAGGTTTGCTGCATTTATAAAGCGCCCATGTGTTGATGTTGTTCAGTATCATGTGATTTACTTTCTATGTGCGATTTGATTGGACAGGAATCACAGGTCTGATTTTTTCTACTTTAGCCAATCACCAAAGACAAGACAGAAATAAAGTAGTGACTGCAGGTTGAAGGAAAGTACAGATACAGCACTAAAAATGTACTCAAGGAAGAGTATTTGGTATCAGTTACTTTACACCACTGGTGTTAGCATAGCAGCAGATTCAAAAACAAGACTAACATCCTATGCTAATGAGGGAGATTGTCACTAGTGGGCGGGGCTTTCCCTCTCTGATGACATGTACAAAGGGAGAATGTCAATCAAAGTATTTCTTTACATCAAGTGTGATTATAAAAACATAAATGAATAATTTTTCTACCATTAGAAGCTGGTTATAATCACACACTGCTGCTGCACAACTGTGTTTCAACCCCTTATAAAAGTGATTTGTGCATAATAGATCCCGTTTAACTCATACCTCATTGCTTACATTGATATGACTGATTTGATTGCATTTGTCTTCTGCAGATCTGGATCACGATGGCCACATTCAACAACACTACCATCGCCAATGCCAGCGATCTGTACTCCTGTATATTCGATGAGACTTTCAAGTACATTCTCCTCCCGGTGAGCTACAGTCTGGTGTTCGTGTTCGGCCTGGGACTGAACATCACCGCCATGTACGTCATCTTATTTCGAACCAAACAGTGGAAGCCCAACACCATCTACATGATCAATCTCAACGCCTGTGACACGCTCTACATCCTCACTCTTCCGTTTCTCATCTACTACTACGCCGATGAGAACGCATGGCCGTTTGGTGAACTGATGTGTAAATTAATCCGCTTTCTCTTCTACACAAACCTCTACGGAAGCATCCTGTTCCTCAGCTGCATCAGCGTGCACAGATTCATAGGCGTCTGCCATCCGGTGCGGTCTTTGTCCTGGACGAATGCCCGTCGTGCTCGTTTCATCTCGTTGTGCATTTGGGCAACGATGCTCATCTTCCAAGCCCCGATCCTTTATTTCTCCAGGATGAAAAGCGATACGATGGTTTGCTATGACACGACAAGCAAGGAGCTCTTCAATGATTTTCTGGTCTACAGCTCGGTGGTGATGCTCCTGCTCTTTGTCCTGCCGTTTGGGGTCGTGTTAGTCTGCAACGCGATGATGGTTAAGAAACTTCGTGAGCCAGGTGTTGGCGATGGTCCAATGTCGCAGAAATCCAAGCAGAAGTCGGTGAAGATGATTATAATTGTGCTTGTGGCGTTCATGCTGTGCTTCTTGCCCTTCCATGTGAACCGCAGTATATACTACGGCTTTCGCTACCTCGATAAACAGGTGAGCTGCTCGATGTTGGAGATCGCCAGCATGGCCTATAAGATCACTCGACCCCTGGCAAGCGCCAACAGCTGCATTGACCCCATCCTCTACTTCATGGCAGGACAGGGCTTCAAAAGCAGCATCAAGAGGAATAAATCACCAGTAGCAAGATCTGGAAAGAAACCACCTTCAACCTCTTTATAATAAGCAGAAAGTCAATTCGAAGACTACTTACTCAGGGATGTGACCCAAGGTCAAAGACTGCCGCTAAAGGAGAAAAAAAAAAAAAAAAAAAAAAAAAATATATATATATATATATATATATATATATATATATATATATATATATATATATATATAAAATAATAAATATATATATATATATTTTTTTTTTTTTTTTTTTTTTTTTTTTAGCTTAGCTAGTTTTGGGGTGATTTTATTAATATTTGGACTTTTCGAACCATCATATATAAGATTTTAAAGGTGCGGTCACGTTTACCATTGCTTTCACATGCTACGTCTATTTGTTTAAATGGGAATGCCTGACATCCGGAGTTCTGTGTGAGGATGAATATGCTGCTCATGCAGATTTAAAGCATTTAAATTGTCTGGTTTGAAGACAAAAATGCTTTCCAATCAACAGTAGAGTGAACTTTTACTGCCCTCATGCAAAACTTTTGTGCATGCAAAATACAATGACTCCAAATTTCACTGAACGGCAAAATCTGTGTGGGGTGGTTTTTCACCCTCAATTGGGCAGTTGTGTAACTTTGAGTTATGATGACTGGATTTTGCTCTTAAAATTGTAAGGGGAACTATCTGACCTCACATTCATGACCTCACAGTCATGTCCTCGAAATTTCACTAACCACAAAACCTGTGTGAGGAAATGGTATTATCATGCAAAACGTTTGATCGGCCAAATTTGGGACCCTGAACCACAAAACCAGTCATAAGAGTCGATCTTATGAAATTTATATGTGTACGTCACATAAAATATAAAGGCGACACGGTGGCTCAGTGGTTAGAACTGTTGCCTCACAGCAAGAAGGTTGCTGGTTCAAGTCCTGTCTGGGTCAGTTGGCATTTCTGTGTGGAGTTTGCATGTTCTCCCCGTGTTGGCGTGGGCTTCCTTTGGGTTTCCCCCACAGTCCAAACACATGCGCTATAGGTGAGTTGGGTAAACAAAACTGACTGTGTGAGAGTGTATGCATGACTCCACAGTCATTCCGCTGTGGTGATCTCTATTAAATGAAGGGACTAAGCCGAATGAATGAAAGACGAATAGATGCGCTTTTAATGGCATGAAGGCTTTTAATAGGGAACATCTTGTTGTTGCATAAAGAAAAGGACTTCATGACCCCTCTAAAGGACATTTTACTGAATGTGAAGGACGTGTCTTCATATATCTGCTCTTTGACCCAACAATATGCTGCTCTCTATTCGTGCTGGATAATTAATGCAGTGAGGGTGAAGGTACCAAACTCTGCTTCTGTTAAGGATCCTTACAAAGTGCCATTGTCTTTGAAGATCCGTGGGAATATATAGGCTAATAAAGTTTTGAAAAGAGGTGTGTCTGGACGGTTAGTGCCAGAATAAAACAGCATTTACGATAATTGACTAGACATTGGTTCGGTTCCAGAATATTGTCAGGAGTGACATGAGAACTGCTTTGACAAGTCTTCAGTGAAAGACGACATCAAATATCACATATTATGACAGCCGAAACATCTTTGTAGAAAATATCTGTTATTTAAAAGGGTTTGTATTTTGTGATTGCTTTTTATTTACAGTTATGAACTGGATTTTGAGACCCTGATCTCTGCTTTGTCAGGTGTATTTTTTTGTTTAGTAGTTAAACAATATAAGAAATAATATACAGATAGTTACAGTAAGTCTAAAATTAAGTACAATATTAATTAAAATGAGGGCGAGGCAGTGGCGCAGTAAGTAGTGCTGTCGCCTCACAGCAAGAAGGTCGCTGGGTCGCTGGTTCGAACCTCAGCTTAGTTGGCGCTTCTGTGTGGAGTTTGCATGTTCTCCCTGCCTTCGCGTGGGTTTCCTCCGGGTGCTCCGGTTTCCCCCACAGTCCAAAGACATGCGGTACAGGTGAATTGGGTAGGCTAAATTGTCCGTAGTGTATGAGTGTGTGTGTGAATGTGTGTGTGGATGTTTCCTAGGGATGGATTGTGGCGGGAAGGGCATCCGCTGCATAAAAACTTGCTGGATAAGTTGGTGGTTCATTCCGCTGTGGCGACCCCTGATTAATAAAGGGAGTAAGCCGACAAGTAAATGAATGAATGAATGAATTAAATTGAAGAGAATTTAATAAAATTAGAGATCAATTATTGTCAGTTTATTACCAGGTTATTGTATCATGATTTACAACCCTAACTCAGACAATATGTCAAACTTTTAGATATGTTTACAAATATCTGAGTGATCTGTTGGGTTTGTGTTCAGTGAGCATATCTGTAATGCATTGAGGTCCTAGACCATTTAGAGATTTATAGACCAGTAATAATACTTTAAAATCTATTCTGAATGTAACTCGGAGCCAGTGTAACCACCTGAGGACAGGTGTGATGTGCTCTGATCTTCTGGTTCTGCTCAGAATCCTGGCAGCAGCGTTCTGGATGAGCTGTAACTGTCTGACTGTCTTTTTGGGAGGGCCAATGAGGAGTCTATTACAGTAATCCACGCTGCTGCTGATAAAAGCATGAACAAGTTTCTCTAAGTCTTCACTGGAAACAAAGCATCTGATTCTTGCTATGTTTTTGAGATAATAGTATGCTGATTTACTGACTGCTTTGACATGACTGTTGAAACTCAGATCTGACTCCAGAGTCACACCAAGATTCTTGACCTTATTTTTTGATGTTTGACCTTTAGTTCCAAGGTTCGCATTTAACTTGAGAACCTCATCTCTGTTCCCACATGCAATGACTTCAGTTTTCTCTTTGTTTAACTGAAGAAAGTTTTGGCACATCCAACTGTTCATTTCATCAGTGTATTGGCAGAGGGTGTCAATTGGGCTGTAGTCATTAGGCAGTAAGGCTAAGTAGATCTGAGTGTCATCAGCATAGCTGTGGTAGGAGATTTGGTTCTTTCTCATTATTTGGCTCAGAGGGAGCATATAAAGGTTGAATAGGAGAGGTGCAAGAATCGAGCCTTGTGGGACTCCACATCTCATGGGTGTCCACCTCGACCTATGGTCACCTATACTGACGTAGTAACCTCTCCCCTAAGGTAAGATCTGAACCATTTGAGGAGCGTGCCAGACAGGGGTGTAACCCTGGCCAAATTCCCTACATCATGACCTCCCAATCATCCCCATCCATCAAATTAGCTCTATCACTGTCTCTCCATTCCACCTATAGCTGGTGTGTGGTGAGCACACTGGTGCCGTTGTCCTGTGGCTGCCGTCGCATCATTAAAGTGGATGCTGCACACTGATGGTGGTGGGGTAAGACCCCACTCATGATTGTGAAGCGCTTTGGGTGTATGGCCATACATGATAAATGCGTTATATAAACATTACTTACTATTAAAAATTTCAATAAAAGTGACTTTTTCAAAATGTTCTACATTATTGGTTGATGCAGCAAAGATCGATGTCCCATAATGCAACTCAAAAGCATAAATAAATGAAAATCCATGATTAAAATAATACAGGAAACTGTTAACATATTGATATTTTTACAGTGATTGTTGAGTCGTGGGAAATTGTAATCGTCACCTTATTATATGGTTATATCTGCATTCTGAATAATTTTGAGATTTTGAGCTTCAAAGTTTTTTTCCATAGCAATAAGAATATGTCAATAACTCAATTTGAACAAAAATGTCAAATAGAACCTTAAAATTCAAGGGTGCTTTCATACCTGCCTTATTTAGTTTGATTGAATCGCACTAGAGTTCGTTTTCCCTTTTGGTATGGTTCGTTTGGGCAGGTGAGAATGCAGCAATCGTACTCGAGTGCGCACCAAAAGCGGACCAAATAAGCGTACGGAGACCTGCTTGAAGAGGTGGTCTCGGTACACTTTCAAACGAACCCTGGAGTGATTCATTGGTGGTGAGAATATGATCCGTACTAAAACAGGTCCAACCGCAAAAAGAACTGCACTTTTTGGACTAATTCAGCTGCCGTAGGCCGATGCGCTGTGCATTATGGGATATGGAGGAAAATATTTGTTGACAGCGCTTTACCAACAGAGAGAGGGGAAAGCATTACCTGATGGATCGTTGGTAATATTTCCGCAAGATGACCATGTCACAGTGTAGCTAAATTAATTTACGCCGGCTCCTGAAGTGACGAGCGATGCATTAAAACTTTGTTTTCATACAGCCGCGGCCGCACTTCATTCTTGAAATGTATAGTTTGTCTAAAGCAGGCATAAAATCAGTCAGCGCAGTCGTCCCTCCATAGTAAAAACCACATTGTGTCTGCCGGTTTTGTTTATTGTTTGTTGTTTATTGGCATTTCCCCGCCCGTGAATTCTGACCAATCAATAAGCAGATTAGGAAATATGTTCAACAACATCTGACCAATGAGAGATGTGGATTTTGTCAGATGACTGCGTTTTGGTTCGTTTTAACTGGTTCGGACCAAAGCCAGCAGTGTGGTGTGAAAACGACCCAAAGACGGCAGAAGATACAACAATGTATCATTTATTGTGCTTGGTCCGGACCAAATGAAGCGAACTACAGATGCGAAGCACCCTAAGATGACGATATGTCAATAAGAATTGATTTTAAAGAGATTGAACGTTAATGACATTTCGTTTTATTTAAAATTGTTGGGTTGGTAAAAATATAGACTTCAGTACTGTTTTTGATTTATAGGCTAAACAACTTTACATTTGTGTATTGTTTTCCTTAATAAAACTAAGATATTGTTTGCCGTCCAATTATTTGTAACCAAACTCTCAGAACATTCACTTCAAAGTAACAGATTTCTGAACCAGGATTAGGGATGCAATCAAAGTTGAGGTTGATTAGTAGGTCAAACTATGATATTTATGTGCTTTCCATACATCACCTATAGTAGGACAAACAATTACTATGGAACTCAATTTTCAAAATATTCGACTTCAACAGAGGAAAGAAACTCAGGTTAGAGAAGGTAGAGTAAATAATGGCAAAATTTTCATTTTTGGGCGTACTATTCCTTTAAATATGGCCTCTTTTTTACACATACATTATAGTTGTGTGAATGAATGAGATCTTCCAAATTAATTTAAGTTATAGTCACTGATTCACCAAAATTAGTTC